CCCAAGCACTTGGGCCATCCTCCACTGTCTTCCCGGGCCACAGCAGAGAGCTGGACTGCAAGAGGAGCAGAGAGCTGGACTGCAAGAGGAGCAACCGGGACAGAACCGGCACCCCAGCACCGCAGGCAGAGGATTAGCCTAGTGAGCCAGGGCACCAGCCAACATGATTCTATATATAAGGAGATTCAAAAGACTCCACTAAAAGACTACAGGAACTCATAGAGCAGTCTGGTAAAGTCGCAGGAAATAAAATCAATACACAAAAATCAACAGCCTTTGTATACATAGACAATACCACGGCTGAGAAAGAACTTCTAAGATTAATTTCATTCAAAATGGCTACAAAAACTAAATACTTTTTTTGAAAAATATTCATTATTTGGTCTCTTTAAAAAAGATTTATATATTTATTTGAAAGTCAGAGTTACACAGAGATAGGAGAAGCAGAGAGAGAGAGAGAGAGAGGTCTTCCATCCAATGGTTCATTCCCTAATAGGCCGCAACGGCTGGAGCTGCGCTTATCCTAAGCCAGGAGCCAGGAGCTTCTTCCAGGTCTCCCATGCGGGTGCAGGGGCCGAAGGACTCAGGCCATCTTTTTACTGCTTTCCCAGGCCATAGCACAGATCTGGATCGGAAGTGGAGCAGCTGGGACTCGAACTGATGCCCATATGGGATGCCGGCACTGCAGGCATATACCCACTACACCACAGCGCCGACCCCTATTTATTTATTTCTAAGGCAAAGACAGAGAAAAGGAGAGACAGAGGTCTTTGATATGCTGCTTCACTTCCCAAATGGCCGCCAACAGCTGGGGCTGGGCCAGGCTGAAGCAAGGACCAGGAGCTCCATTCAGGTCTCCAATGTGGACGCAGGGGCCCAAGGACTTGGGCCATCTTCTGCTGCCCCAGGCACATTAGCGGGAAGCTAGATTGGAAGTGGAACAGCAGAGTCAAACCGGTGCCCATATGGGATGCCAGTGCTTCACGCGAGGGTGTTAACCCGCTGTGCCACATCGCAGGCCCCTAAATATCTTGTAATAAATTTAACTAAGGATGTCAATTATGACAATTACAAAACATTAAAAAAATAGAAGATTCTATCATAATATCCATACTTCCAAAAGCAATTACAGATTCAATGCGATACCATCAAAATATCAAGGACATTTGTCTTAGATTAGAAAAAAAATTGATGCTGAAATTCATATGGAAACACAGGAGATCCAAATAGCTAAAGCAACCTTTTACAACAAAAACAAAGTTAGAGGCATCACAATACCAGATTTCAAAACCTGCTACAGGGCAGTTATAATCAAAAAACCCTGGTACTGGTACAAAAAAAGGTGGATAGACCAATGGAACAGAACAGAAATGCCAGAAATGAATCCAAACATCTACAATCAACTAATATTTGACAAAGGAGCTAAAATCAGTCCCTGGAGCAAGGATAGTCTTCATCAAATGGTGCTGGGAAAACTGGATTTCCACATGCCTAAGTATGAAGCAAGACCCCTACTTTACGCCTGCCACAAAAACCAACTCAAAATGGATTAAAGACCTAAATCTATGACCCAATATCATCAAATTATTAGAGATCACTGGGGAAACCCTGCAAGGCATTGGCATAGGCAAAGACTTCTTGGAAAAGACCCCAGAGGCACAGGCAATCAAAGCCAAAATTCAGCCGGCGCCGTGGCTCAATAGGCTAATCCTCCACCTTGCGGCGCCGGCACACCGGGTTCTAGTCCCGGTTGGGGCGCCGGATTCTGTCCCGGTTGCCCCTCTTCCAGGCCAGCTCTCTGCTATGGCCAGGGAGTGCAGTGGAGGATGGCCCAGGTGCTTGGGCCCTGCACCCCATGGGAGACCAGGAAAAGCACCTGGCTCCTGGCTCCTGCCAGGATCAGCGCGGTGCGCCGGCTGCAGCGGCGGCCATTGGAGGGTGAACCAGCGGCAAAAAGGAAGACCTTTTTCTCTGTCTCTCTCTCTCACTGTCCACTCTGCCTGTCAATAAATTAAAAAAAAAATAAAAAAAAAAAAGCCAAAATTCACAAATGGGATGACATCAAATTGAGAAGTTTCTGCACTGCTAAAGAAACACTCAGCAAAGCGAAGAGGCAACTGACACAATGGGAGAAATTATTTGCAAACCATGCAACTGATAAAGGATTAATAACCAGAACATATAAAGAGATCAAGAAACTCAACAACAACCAAACAACCCAGTGAAAAAATGGGCAAAGGACTTAAACATTTTTCAAAAGAGGAAATCCAAATGGCCAACGGACACATGAAAAAATGCTCAGGATCACCAGCTGTCAGGGAACTGCAAACCAAAACTACAATGAGGTTTCACCTCACCCCAGTTGGAATAGCTCTCATACAGAAATCAACAAATAACAAATGCTGGCGAGGATGTGGGAAAAAAGTTACCCTAATCCACTGTTGGTGGGAATGCAAACTGGTGAAGCCACTATAGAAGACAGTATGGGGAGACCTCAGAAATCTGAATACAGACCTACCATATGACACAGCCATCCCACTCCTGGGAGTTTACTCAAGGGAAATGAAATAAGCATAAGAAAGAGTTATCTGTAACCCTGTGTTTCCTGCAGCTCAATTCACAATAGCTGAGACAAGGAATCAACCCAAATGCCCATCAACTAAAGACTGGATGAAGAAATTATGGGATATGCTCATCATGGAATACTACACAGTGCTAAAAAATGAAATCTGGTCTTTTACAACAAAATGAATGAATCTGGAAAACATTATATTTAGTGACTTAAGCCAGTTTCAAAGGGGCAAATACCACATGTTCTCCCTTACTTGTGATACTAATTGAGCACCTAAAAGGCAGTCTGTAAAAGTGAAATTGACACTTTAAGAAGCAATGACTTGAACAGCCCTGTCTTGACTTTTTTTTATATACTATTTCTTGAACTCTTAAACATAATTGTATAGAATCAATTGAAAATAGATTTTAGTAAAATAAGGATGGGAATAAGAGAGAGAGGAGGAAGAGGGGTTTGGGGTAAAGGTGGGAGAGTGGGCATGGTGGGAAGAATTACCATGTCCATTTTCCTAAAGTTGTAATTATGAAGTGTATGAAGTCTGTAACTGTAAAACTGTATAGTTCTGCATACATTCCTATGTACTTATGTCTAAGGGTACAATTTAAAAACTTGCCATGGGACCCCAAGTCCCCTTAAGCTGGGTGGTAAAAATATCTCCTTAAGTGTTAAATGATCATATGGTTAGGATGAAGGATCTGGTTATAATAATAGGAGGGAATGCTCCAACATGGGAGGCAGACCACACAGCAGACTCATAGGACGCATACAATCTACCTAAACTGAGCTCGGACCTCAGAATCAGCACTTAAGGCATTCTGGTCTGGCTGAAAAGCCCACGAGAGCATTTCAGGCATGGAAAGCCAAGACACTGTGGCAAAAAATGTCATATGTAATGGACCTCAGTGGGTGAGACCCCAGTAGAAAGAAGTGATCATCAAAGAAGGAAGTACTTTTCTCTGAAGGGAGGAAAAAACTTTCACTTTATTTATGGCCTTGTCTAAATACTGATGGAGTTTGTTTATTCAAAAGGCTTCCATAGCCTAAGCAGCTCATGTCAAGAGCCTTGGGTGATCACTGACGTCATACATAAGAGTATTAACTGTTAAATTAACAAGAGTCACTATGCACTAACTTCCCATGCAGGACCTCTGTCCGCAAAGAGTTGTATTATAATTATGTTGAAGTGCTCACAAAAGATGTATCATTCTTGGGTGTTTCTTTAAAGTTAGTTAAGTTTCTAAAAACAAAGAAGAAGAAGAGGTGAAATTAACTTCAAGACACAATGACTTTGAACAGCCCTTGTCTCAACTGTTGAGGAACAGTTTTTATGTTGGTTTTTTTTTGGGGGGGGGGTTTGATTTTTTCTTCCGTGCAAATTGTTGGGCTTTTTACTTAGTATAGAGTTGGTCTTCTGTGTTTAAAATTAATCAAAAATAGGCCGGTGCCGCGGCACAATAGGCTAATCCTCTGCCTGCGGCACCGGCACACCAGGTTCTAGTCCTGGTCAGGGCGCTGGATTCTGTCCCAGTTGCTCCTCTTCCTGTCCAGTTCTCTGCTGGACAGAGACTCTGCCAGGGAGTGCAGTGGAGGATGGCCCAAGTCCTTGGGCCCTGCACCCACATGGGAGACCAGGAGAAGCACCTGGCTCCTGGCTTCGGATCAGCGCAGTGTGCCAGCCACAGAAGCCATTGGAGGGGGTGAACCAATGGAAAAAAGGAAGCCCTTCCTCTCTCTCTCTCTCTCTCACTGTCCACTCTGCCTGTCAAAAAAAAATAAATTAATTAAATTAAATTAATTAAAAATAGATCTTAATGGAGAATGGGACTGGGAATAGGAGAGGGAGGAGGAGGGGTGGGAGAGTGGGAAGAATCATTATATTCCTAAAGTTGTACTTATGAAATGCATGAAGTCTGTATTCCTTAAATAAAAGGTTTTCTTGGCTGGGGGGAAGTACCCACTGATAACCAACAAATGTCTGGTTGTTTGCTGTGAGACTACATATGTTGGCTCAACCTCAGGGATTCCTTAAAATGAGAATCAGCCTGTTCACAAATTCTACTAGGTTCAAAGTGATATTTAATTTCTACTTCCAAAGTGTGGATTTGGCTGGAATACAATAACAGCAAATCATTATTCCAAAAATTGATAAAGAAAGCATTCATCCGTTTAAAGTTTCCTTGCTAGGAAATCTTTTAATTCTTTAAACATTTTCTACATATCCTCAACTGAACATTTAAAGGCAACATTCTAAAGCTAAATATCACTAAAGTATTACATTCTAACCTTTATTAACAGTATACCACATATATGCTAATTTTATTTTTGTACATAATTTATTGTGTATGTTAGAAACAGTTTTACCCAATTACTTCAATAACATGACAAAATAAATTAAATCCCCTTAAAAAGCAAAATTTTGAAGAATTACCTTTTCCTGAAATTACTTCTTTTTCTACTCGCCACCTAAATCCAAACTGATAAGAAAAAGAATTAGATTTAGGTCAAAGTAAATTTATACATCACATTAAAATTATATGTAAATCTTAACATGGCATTAATAACATTTACAAACCTAAAAAATTAAACCTAGAGGCCAGCACTGTGGTGCAGCAGGCTGAGCTGCTGCCTGCAATGCCAGTATCCTGAATGGGCACTGGTCCATGTACTGGTTGTTCCATTTGTAACCCAGCTCCCTGCTAATGTACCTAGGAAAGCAGTGGAAGATGGCCCAAATGCTTAGGTCCCGGCCACCCACCTGGGAGACCCAGATGGAGCTCCTGGTTCCGGCTTTCAGCCCACCCTACACCCAGCCAATGCAGTCATTTGTGGAGTGAACCAGATGGAAGATATCTTTCTGTCTCTCTCTGTCTCTATAACTCTGCCTTTCAAAGAAATAAATCTCAAAAAAAGAAAAAATTAAACCCAATTCTCATGACAGCTTTTCCTCCTGTAAGATAGTATGTAAAATCCCATCTTGAAAAACATTTGAAGAATTACCAATCTATCTGTTCAGAACAATATTATGTACTCTTAAAATACCCTAAAAGTTACAGGTGTCAGGCTATAAGATATCTTAGTTTAACAAATAATGTGCCCTGTTCTATCAAACTGAAAATACAAAAAAAAAAAAAAGTTACAGTACAGTACAGAAGCAGAATATTACAGGGCAAAGAAGTCAGATTATATAGGTTAACATTTTAGCTCCACCACTTAGCAGCTGAATAGTACAGAGTAAGTTACTGAATATCTGTTTACCTGAATTTACTCCTATGTAGAGATAGGAGTACCTACTTCTTTTGGTGAGAGACTTATATGTGACAACATGGATACGCCTCGACTTAAGATGGATTTACATTCTTGGTACACTCACTGTAAGATGGAAATATTTTGCATTTACTATGGCTAACATCCCAGTTGACCTTAACATGCTCAGAACACCTTCATTAGCCTGCAGTTGAGTAAAAGGATTTAACATAGAATCTATTTTTTTTTTTTTATCTTTGACAGGCAGAGTGGACAGTGAGAGAGAGAGAGAGAGAGAGAGACAGAGAGAAAGGTCTCCCTTTTGCCATTGGTTCACCCTCCAATGGCCACCGCAGCTGGCCCGTTGTGGCCGGCGCATTGCGCTGATCCGAAGCCAGGAGCCAGGTGCTTCTCCTGGTCTCCCAAGGGGTGCAGGGCCCAAGCACTTGGGCCATCCTCCACTGCACTCCTGGGCCACAGAAGAGAGCTGGCCTGGAAGAGGGGCAACCGGGACAGAATCCAGCGCCCCGACCGGGACTAGAACCCGGTGTGCCGGCGCCGCTAGGTGGAGGATTAGCCTATTGAGCCGTGGCGCCGGCCTAGAATCTATTTTAAATCAACCATTGAGTACCTCATGTAATTTATTAAATACCCATATCCATGAAATGCTGGCAACACAGCACACTACGTTATCAGTTGTTTACCCTCATGATCCTATGCCTGAACATGAATTCCCACCGTCCAGCATCAAGAGATTATCACATTGCATATTGTTAAACCAGGGAAAGATTAAAATTCCAAATCCAAAAGATACTTTCTACCAAACATGTAACACTTTTGTACCACAGCAAAATAAAAAAAAAAAGTCACTAAGTCAAATTTTTCTAAGTCAACTAGAAAACTTGTACTTATAAAGCCACTAGAACAATAATATATATATATATATATATATATATATATATATTCGATTGGGGTTAGCAAACTGGCACACAGACCTTTAGCCTAGTTTAAAAATTTTTATTGGAACACAACCACATCTATTCATTTGTGTAAATCTACTTCTTTTTTTTTTTTTTTTTTTTTTAATTTTTGACAGGCAGAGTGGACAGTGAGAGAGAGAGACAGAGAGAAAGGTCTTCCTTTTGCCGTTGCTTCACCCTCCACGCGCCGGCGCACCGCGCTGATCCGATGGCAGGAGCAGGTACTTATCCTGGTCTCCCATGGGGTGCAGGGCCCAAGCACTTGGGCCATCCTCCACTGTACTCCCTGGCCACAGCAGAGAGGGGCAACCAGGACAGAATCCGGCGCCCCGACCGGGACTAGAACCCAGTGTGCTGGCGCCGCAAGGCGGAGGATTAGCCTAGTGAGCCGTGGCGCCAGCCCATTTGTGTATATCTACTTTCACTCTGCAACAGTAGTGTTCCACAGCTGTGACAAAGACCGTATGACCATTCATACAAACACACACACCAAAGTTCGCAAACCTCTGTAGTAAAATAAGTATTATTTAGCAGCTATTATTAATGATTCCTTCTGGCTCACCAAAGATCAGAATCACCTATATACCATATTTAACCAGAGAGCACAGGGTTTAGTAGTAGAAAACAACCACCCATTGTGTTGGTGCTGTGGTGAGGAAGGCCAAGCCTCTGCCTCCAATGCCAGCATCCCATATGGGTGCCAGTTGTTCTGCTTCCAATCGAGCTCCCCACTAATGTGCCTGGGGCAGCAGAAGGCCCAAGTCTTGGGCCCCTGCACCCACATAGGAGACTTGAATGGAGCTCCTAGTCCTGGCTTCCCCTGGCCCAGCCACGGCTATTGCAGCCATATGGGAAGTGAAGCAGCAGATGGAAGACCTCTGTCTTTCCTTTTCTCTATCTTTGCCTTAGAAATAAATAAATAGGGGTCGGCGCTGTGGTGTAGTGGGTATGCCTGCAGAGCTGGCATCCCATATGGGCGTCAGTTCAAGTCCTAGCTGCTCCACTTCTGATCCAGCTCTGTGCTATGGCCTGGAAAAGCAGTAGAAGATGATCCATGTCCTTCGGCCCCTGCACCCGCATGGGAGACCTGGAAGAAGCTCCTGGATCCTGGCTTCAGATCTGAGCAGCTCCAGCCGTTGTGGTCAACTGGGGAGTGAACCATTGGATGGAAGACCTCTCTCTCTCTCTCTCTGCTTCTCCTATCTCTGTGTAACTCTGACTTCAAATAAATAAATAACTCTTTAAGACAAATAAGTAAATAAATAAATAAAAAAGTCTTTAAAAAAGAAAAAGACCACACATGGGATCAATATAATCTGAGAAATCTTTCACTGATACAAAATCTAATATTATTCAGGCTTCTGTCACGGTCAAAGTCTGGCTCAGAGATTACAACGAAGAGCAGTGGGACTGGTCTGGAGCCTTAGGTGGACAGCTGTTAAACTTCCATCCATATTCCTAAAAATAACTTTGTTTTTTGGCTAACAATGAATCATGTCTGCTGCCTTTTAAAATCTTTCATATTTATATGCAGACTTACCATAGTTTCAATAATATCTTGTTTTCTATTCAGTTTAGGATAATGGTTAAAAGTTCAGTTCTCTAGCAACTGGACTTCTTGGCATTTACCCAAACAAAAACCTGAACATAGACACTTACAGCAACGACATGCATATCTGCCAATACTTGTAAACAACCAAGATTTCCTTCATTAGGTAAATGTATAAACAAACTGAAAATACAGACAATGAATGAGATTCAGCATTAAAAAGGAATGAACTATCAAGCCATGAAAAGACATGGAGCAATTTCCAATGTGTATTACTAAGAGAAAGAAGCCAATCTGAAAAGGCTATATACTACATGATTTGACTATCTGATATTCTGGAAAAGACAAAACTTTGGAGACAGCAAAAAGATCAGTGTTTTCCAAGGGTTAGGGAGGAGCGAGGGATGAAAAGGCAGAGCACAGAGAAGTTTGAGGGCAGTGAAACTATTCTGTGATATTGTAATGGTAGACACATGTCATTAAACAGAATGTACAAAACCAAGAGGGAACTCTAATGTACACTGTGGACTCTGAGTGGTAATAGTGTGTCAATGTAGCTTCACCAGGTGTAACAAATGTACCACTCTGATGGGAGGTACTGATGGTGAAGAGCCTGAGGATGAGTGGCAGGGAGTGCACAGAACTCTGAACTTTCTCATCAATTTTGCTGTGAACCTAAAATGCTGTAAAAATAAAGTCTATTTTTAAAAAACAAAACTATGCAACTATAGAATCGTGCAGATTCAACTCAATAGTATCCTTCATTAACTTGCTCTGTAACCTCGGGAAAGTTACTTAATCTATTTCTCCTTTAGGTATAAAAATGCCAATAATAACAACCCTTAACTTCATAGGACTGTTATATTGTGAGAATTCAGACAAAATGCTCATCATGCCTGATGAACTTATTTTTTTTAATATTTATTTATTTATTTGAAAGAGTTACACAGAGAGAGGAGAGACAAAGGGGGTGGGGGTCTTCCATCTATTGGTTCATTCCCTAATTGGCCACAACAGCAGGAGCTGTGCCAATCTAAAGCCAGGAGCCAGGAACTTCTTCCAGGTCTCCTACATGGGTGCAGGGGCTCAAGGACTTGGGCCATCCTCCACTGCTATCCCAAGCCATAGCAGAGAGCTGGATCGGAAGTGGAGCAGCTGGGTCTTGAACCGGCACCCAAATGGGATGCTGGCACTTCAGGCCAGGACGTTAACACACTGCGCCACAGCGCTGGCCTCCTGATGAACTTATTATTAATTAGCTAATTAAAAGTAAGAACGAACCCCTAGATGGCGGAATAGCGACAAGATGGTCCGATTTAAGCAGGGTGAAATTAATATTTCAAAAAAGGAGAGTACACTCACAGGATGAAGCTGTGGTAGAGCTGTGGTGGGAGGTCCTGTCTGGACCCGTGCTGAGAGAGCAAATACACAAAAGACCTGCTGACTTGGATTCGGGGAGGAGGACATCCGCCCAGCAAGCCAGGTCAGAGAGAACTCCATGGCCCATCGCACTGCTGATACAATGGGACAGAGAGCTTGGTGAACTGCTTTAGGAGTTCCACACAGATCTCCCACGGCAGCAGGCAACTGACTGTCCAGAGGAGGGGGAAAAAAGGCAGTAGTCGCTCTCCTTCCCCACCTCCCTGCTACAGCGGAGACCTGCAGCCAGCAGGGGGAGCTGACAGCATTTCTGGACATAGGCAGGCGGCAGTCACCCCAGCTCCTGTGCACGCACTCAGCAATAGCTGGCATTACCTTCCACCCAGTCAACGAGGGCCACAGCAATTCAGAGGAAGCCAGGAGCAGGGCCTCCACCACACCAGTTGCACCATGCCAGTTGCCCTGCAATGGGAGGAGAGGGGAAGTGTGCCTGCAGGACTCTCCTACCCTCTTAGCATGACTGAGAAGTGAGCGGGGCTGTAGCAGGCAGGTTACTTTGTGCGCTTGCAAACCACAGAACAAACCAGAGAGAAAAACTTACCTTCCCCACTAACACCAAATGTGGTTGGGAGGACCACGCAGACAGTAGCTCTGGGAACACCTTAGTTTCCTCACAGACAGAACTAGATAGTGGGGTGGAGAGGCCCAAAGGCACCCCATGACCTGGAGAGTCCAAGGAGTGGAGTCTGAGAAAACAGTGACTGCGTAAGAGAAGGAAGAGCGAGGCTAGGTTCTGGGCATCCACAGAGCGATTCTAGAAGCGATTCTCCCCACTCTCTGGAACTCCTCAGCTGCCCACAGCAGCTCATAGCAGAGGGAACTGTGCTCACAGCAAAGACTCCACAGACAAAATATGCAGTTCAAAGGAGTACAGATGAATGCTGAGCACACTGGGGACCAACACCTGGGTGTTGCTCATCTGGGAGCAGAAGGGCTGGTCACAAAACAGAGGTGACCATTCCTCTCCATCCAGTCAACCAGAGGAGAGCTGCCACACCCAACTGGGGTCTTGTGCTGTATACTGACCCCACCCTGGAATACTAAAGAGAGCAGCCTGGCCACACCCAGAAAACACCTCTTGGTTTTCATTGAAAGTGTAGATGTCCCACTAAGCCACAGAGACACAGATCAAAGATAAAGCATCAGACAGAAAGAAAATTCTACAAATGCCAAAAAATAAAGGAAAAATACAAGACACAAGAATAAGGAAGACACTATGAGCCCACCAAAGGAACACTACAATACTTCAGTACTAGAATGTGAAGATGAAGAGATTGAGGAAATGCAGGAAACAGAATTCAAAAAACTAATCATCAGATTACTCAGAAGAAATCAGAAGCAAATTCACGAACTAAAGAAAACATATATGGTATGAACAAAATTTTTCCCATGAAATTGAGATCTTAAAGAGAAATAAACATGAAATACTAGAAATGAAGAATGCAATAGATAAAACAAAAAATGAAGTGGAAAGTCTTAACATAGTGGGTGAAGCAGAAGAAAGAATATCCCAGCTAGAGAAAAATCTATTTTACAGTCAGGCAAAAAACAAGAAGAAATTAGCAAACTACAAAACACTGTTGGAGATCTACAGGATACTATCAAATGACCCAACATACAGGTCTTAGGAGTTCCTAAAGGTGTGGAAAGAGAGAAAGGATTACAAGGTCTTTTTTAGTGAAATAATAACAGAAAACTTCCCTAATTTGGAGAAAGAAAGGGACATCCAGGTACAGGAAGCACACAGAACTCCCAAAAGACATGACCAGAAAAGATCTTCACCATGACACATGTAGTCAAATTCTCCATAAATAAAGATTCTAAAATGTCTATGAAAGAAATGGCCAGATTGCTTTCAGAGGATCTTCAATCAGACTCACAACATAGACTTCTCATCAGAAACCCTTTGGTTAGAAGAGAATGGCGAGATATACTCCAAGGCTTAAGAGAAACAAACTGTCAACCCTGCAAATACTATATCCTGCAAAGCTCTTATTTATTAATGAAGGTGAAATAAAGAACTTCCACAACAAACAGAAGTTTAGAGAATTTGTCACCACCCATCCAGCCTTGCAAAAGATGCATAAGGAGTGTTACCCACAGAAACACAGACACAGTTATAACTATGAAGGAAGGTGAAGGCAGAGTATCTCCCAGTTAAAAGTACAAAGGAAATCCAAAGTAAAAAACAGGAATACTTATGGGAAAATGACAAGGCAAAGTCGTCACCTTGAATGTAAATGGCCCCAACTCTCCAGTTAAAAGACACAGACTGGCTGAATGGAAAAAAAAAATAAATACAAAGAAAGAAAATCCATCTATTTGCTGCCTACCAAAAAAAAAAAAAAAAAAAAAAAAAAAAAAAAAACAACCACATCTCACCAAGAAAGTTACTTGCAGACTGAAAGCGAAAGGATGGAAGAAATATTCCATGCGAACAGAAACCAAAAAGGGCACTACGTAATGATTAAGCGATCAATTCAACAGGAAGATGTAACTATTTTAAATGTATATGTACCTAATCACAGGGCACCAGGCTACTTAATAGAAATGTTAAGGGATATAAAGGGAGACATGGACACAAATACAATAATAATGGGGGGCTTTAGTAACCCACTTTCAGCAATGGACAGATCAACCAGACAGAAAATCAGCAAGGAAACAACAGAGTTAATCAACACTTAGACCAAATGGACCTAAGATATCTATAGAACTTTCCATCCTACAGCCACAGAATACATATGCTTCTCAGCAGTGCATGGTTCTCTAGGACTGACCACATACTAGGCCATAAAGCAAGTCTCAGCAAATTAAAAAAAAAAAAATCGAAATCAGATCAGGCATTATCTCTGACCACAATGGACTGAAGTTGGAAATCAACAACTCAAGAACCTCTAGAACATATGCAAACACATGGAGACTGAACAACATGAATGAACAGTGAGTCATAGAAAAAATCAAAAGAGAAATCAAAAGATTCCTGGAAACAAATGAAGATGACAACACAACACATCAACACTTATGGGATACAGAAAAAGTAGTGTTAAGAAGAATGTTTACAGCAATTGGTACCTACATCAAGAAATTGGAAAGGCACCAAATAAATGAGCTATCAATGTACCTCAAAGACCTAGGAAAACTGCAACAAACCAAATCCAAAACTAGTAAGAGAAAAGAAATAATTAAATTTAGAGAAGAAATAAACAAAAGTGAAACAAACAAGCAAAACGAATACAAAAGATCAGCAAAATGAATGCTGGTTCTTTGAAAAAATAAACGAAATCAACACACCACTGGCCCAACTAACCAAAAAAAGGAGAGAGAAGACCCAAATTAATAAAATTAGAGATGAAAAAGGAAATGTAACAACAGACACCACAGAAATAGGAAGAATCATCAGAAATTACTACAAAGAGCTATATACCAATTAACTGGGAAACCTAGAAGAAACGGATAGATTCCTGGACACATACAACCTATCTATATTGAGCCATGAAGACATAGAAAACCTAAACAGACCCACAACCAAGACAAAAATTAAATCAGTAATAAAGACACTCCCAACAACAACAAAAAAGCCCAGGACTAATTGGCTTCACAATGATTTCTACCATACATTTAAAGAACTAACTCCAATTCTTCTCAAGATATTCCAAACAACTGATAAGGAGAGAATCCTCCCGAATTCTTTCTATGAAGCCAGTATCACCTTAATTCCTAAATCCAGGAAAGCAACAGAGAAAGAGAACAACAGACCAATTTCCCTTATGAACAAAGATGCAAAAATCCTCAATAAAATATTAGCCAATCAAAAGAACATTCACTCACACCAAGTGGGATTTATTGCTGCTATGGAGGAATTGTTCAATATTTGCAAATCAATCAATGTTATATATCACATTAACAAACTGAAGAAGAAAAAACATAGCATTATCTCAATAGACACAGAGAAAGTATTTGATAAAATACAACACTCTTTCATGATGAAAACTCTAAACAAATTGGGTGTAGAAGGAATATTCCTTAACACAATCAAGGAAATTTATGACAAACAGCCAGCGTCCCATTTAATGGGGAAAAGCTTGAGGCATCCTCATTGAGATCCAGAACCAGACAAGGATGCCCACTCTCACCACTGCTATTCAATACAGTCCTAGAAGTTTTAGCCAGAACCATTAGGCAAGAAAAAGAAATCAAAGGGATAAAAACTGAGGAGGAAGTCAACCTATTCTTATTTGCAGATGATAGGATTCTATAAGTAGGTGATCCAAAAGACTCCGCCAAGACTATTGGAACTCATAGAAGAGTTTGACAAAGTAGAAGGATATAAAATCAACACAAAAAAAATCAATAGCCTTTGCATACACAGACACTGCCACAGCTGAGATAGGACTTCTAAGATCAATCCCATTCACAACAGCTACCAAAATATCATGTACTTTGATATAAATTTAACCAAGGACGTCAACAATCTCTATGATGACAGTTACAAAACATTTAAAAAAAGAAGATACAAAAAAATGTTAAAATCTTCCTTGGTCATGGATTAGAAGATCAGTATCATCATAATGTCCATACTTCCAAAAGCAATTACAGATTCAATGTGATATGAATCAAAATACCAAGGACATTTGTCTTATAGAAAAAATGCTGAAATTCATATGGAAATACAGATTATCCAAATAGCTAAAGCAACCTTATACAACAAAAACAAAGCTGAGGCATCAATTACTAGATTTCAAAACATACTACAGGGCAGTTATAATCAAAACACTCTGTTGCTGGTACAAAAACAGGTGGATAGACCAATGGAACAGAATAGAAATGCCAGAAATGAATCCAAGCATCTACAATCAACTAATATTTGACAAAGGAGCTAAAATCAATCCCTGGAGCAGGGAAAGTCTCTTCAACAAATGGTGCTGGGTAAACCGGATTTCTATATGCAGAAGTATGAAGCAAGACCCCTACTGGTACAAGAACAAATGGATACACCAATGGAACAGAACAGAAATGCCAGAAATGAATCCAAACATCTACAATCAACTAATATTTGACAAAGGAGCTAAAATCAGTCCCTGGAGCAAGGATAGTCTTCATCAAATGGTGCTGGGAAAACTGGATTTCCACATGCCTAAGTATGAAGCAAGACCCCTACTTTACGCCTGCCACAAAAACCAACTCAAAATGGATTAAAGACCTAAATCTATGACCCAATATCATCAAATTATTAGAGATCACTGGGGAAACCCTGCAAGGCATTGGCATAGGCAAAGACTTCTTGGAAAAGACCCCAGAGGCACAGGCAATCAAAGCCAAAATTCACAAATGGGATGACATCAAATTGAGAAGTTTCTGCACTGCTAAAGAAACACTCAGCAAAGCGAAGAGGCAACTGACACAATGGGAGAAATTATTTGCAAACCATGCAACTGATAAAGGATTAATAACCAGAACATATAAAGAGATCAAGAAACTCAACAACAACCAAACAACCCAGTGAAAAAATGGGCAAAGGACTTAAACATTTTTCAAAAGAGGAAATCCAAATGGCCAACGGACACATGAAAAAATGCTCAGGATCACCAGCTGTCAGGGAACTGCAAACCAAAACTACAATGAGGTTTCACCTCACCCCAGTTGGAATAGCTCTCATACAGAAATCAACAAATAACAAATGCTGGCGAGGATGTGGGAAAAAAGTTACCCTAATCCACTGTTGGTGGGAATGCAAACTGGTGAAGCCACTATAGAAGACAGTATGGGGAGACCTCAGAAATCTGAATACAGACCTACCATATGACACAGCCATCCCACTCCTGGGAGTTTACTCAAGGGAAATGAAATAAGCATAAGAAAGAGTTATCTGTAACCCTGTGTTTCCTGCAGCTCAATTCACAATAGCTAAGACAAGGAATCAACCCAAATGCCCATCAACTAAAGACTGGATGAAGAAATTATGGGATATGCTCATCATGGAATACTACACAGTGCTAAAAAATGAAATTCGGTCTTTTACAACAAAATGAATGAATCTGGAAAACATTATATTTAGTGAAATAAGCCAGTTCAAAGGGACAAATACCATAAGTTCTTGGGAGACCTGTGATAACTGGTAGAGCACCTAAAAGGTGATCTGAGGAAGTGAAATACACTTTGAGAAGAAATGACTTTGTACAACCCTTGTCTCAACTGTAGAGGAACTTTTTTTATACTTTTTGTTGAACTTTTTACTTAACATAGAAATAATCATGTATATAAAGTTGACTGAAAATAGATCTTAGTAAAAATTAAGAGTTGTAATAAGAAAGGGTGGAGGAAGTGGGGTGGGAGTGTGGGCACAGTGGGAAGAATCACCATGTTCCTAAAGTTGTAATTGTGAAATGTATGAAGTTTCTAACTGTAAAATTGTATAGTTCTGCATACATTCTTACAGACTTAACTTCTAAGGGCATAGTTTAAAAACTTGCCATGGGGCCCCAAATTCCCTTAAGCTGGGTAGTAAAAACAGCATTTAAGTGTTAAAATGCACATAAAGATAGGATTAAGTGTTAAAGTGGTCATATCTATAGGATTAAGTGTTTGATAATAATAAATAGAATTAACAAGGAGTGAATGCTCCACTGTGGGGAGCAGTCTGTATTATACAGCAAAACTCATAGAATAACAATCGCTTTAAGTAGCACTCAGACCTCAAATCAGCCCTTAAGGCATTCTGGTTTGGCTGAAAAGCCCATGAGAACATTTCAGGCATGGAAAGCCAAGACCGTGGCAAAAAAAAATGTCCTACATGGAGGATCTCAGTGGGTGAGACCTCAGAGGAAAGAAGTCATCATCAAAAGAGGATGTACTTTTCTCTGAAGGGAGGAAAGAACTTTCACTTTGCTTATGACCTTGTCTAAATACCGAAGGAGTTTGTGGATTCAACAGGCTTCCATAGCCTAGGCAGGTCATGTCAAGAGCCTTGGATGATCACTGACATCATACACAAGAGTGTTAATTGTTAAATTAACAAGAGTCGCTGTGCACTAACTTCCCATACAGGACCTCTGTCCTCAACGAGTTGGATTATGAGAGTTAACAATAAAACTTGTTCTCAAAGACTTACTTCTTTTAATGTATTAAGTGGAGGAAATTCTTATGTGTCATAAACTATAGTTATGTCTAAGTGCTCACAACAGATTATCACTCTTGAGTTCTTCAGAATTAAATTTCTCAAAAATAAAATGAATCCTCAAAAATAAAAAAAAAAATAAATTAAACCTCAGAAAGGTTTACTTTTATTGAATTAAAAAGTATTTTTTCTTTATTGTAAAAATAATCCTTCTGGTATTCTAATGCACAGTAGGGTCACAATATTTAACAATAATATATTGTTTATTTCTAAATAGCTAGAACAAAGACTTTTGAATGTTTACAGTACAAAGAAATCTTGAATATATGAAGTGATAGATGCCAATTATCCTAATTTGATCATTAAAATGTATGCATGTATCAAAATATTACATTGTACCCCTTAAATATGTAAAATTATTGTGTGTCAATAAAAACAAATAATCTAATAAAAAAGTAAATAAAACATTGTCTTTTTAAATAAAAGGAAATGTTATAAGTAAGAGATCCAAAGGCATCACTCCAACTTTTTCCAACACTTCAAACATGGTGTGCCAAAAAGCAGTCTCTCTCTCCAAATTCTTTCAGTATTCACATTCAAAACCTGTGAGTTCTGAGTTCTTACTTGCACCTAGCCTCACATCCATTCACTCAACATATTCTAATACCAAAATACAATGGGTTTCTAGATTATTCTCTTCAAACTATGATTTCTAATAGTTGTTTTTAATGGTGAATTAAAACATTCTTTGCTTATGAACATTCTTCCCTCAACAAGGCTGTAGCTTTCTCTGAAAGCCAGTCACCAGGAGCTAATCCATAGAACCCTGTCCAGTTTCAACAAATATTGAAAAACAATCCAGGGTTAAAAATGCTGCTTTGATTCATGCTCTTAGAAAGATTTGGAATTTCACATTGGATTTGCAATACAGTGATTCCAAGTAATTCCAGCTGCTAAAGTGCTTGTTGAATTAGATTTAAGAATTAGCTGGTAAAAACATGAGAGCTGTGAACTACAGTCCATAACTAATTCACAAGAAACTGAGAAGTCTGGGATATAACAATCACATGGGTTTATAAAGAGTTATATAAAATGAACATTACTATTGTTTGTAAAAAATTGTAAGCAACACAAATATTAAAGGCACTACTGAAAAAACTGTTAAGCCAATCCTAGTTCTAATGAGACCAGACCATTAAAACAAAAAACAAAGAACTCCTTCAGACATAGCAACTTAAGACAGCTTTTAAAATAGAGGTTGTCTTTTTTAATATGACACAAATATATACAATCTTTAACATACATATTTATGTAATCTGCCCTCCCTTCAATTCACAACTTAGTCTGTTCCTTGGTTACCTTCCAGCTACATATTACAAGCTTAAGCTAGGAATAAAAATAACTTCAATATTAACTAAAATGATATGTGAAGTGGGAAGGGAAATCTGTCAATACTAGTTAGCAACAATTTAAAATTCAATTTTTCTAGAATAGACATTACATTTATGTATCACAGGCTATGCATCTGCTTCCCTAGAAATAGTAATTTTTAAAAATCTACCAATTTCAAACATCATCTGTGAAAGAAGACATTGCTCTGCAAAGTTCCATCATTCATTATAATCACCAGAGGCTCTAGACTAGAGTCAAATGATGAAACAAGACCAAGGCACTTGTGTTTAATTTTAGCCTTTTCATGGCTCAGCTCTAAAAGAAACACCCTTATCTCTATAAATTCCATAGGGTAACTGTAAATTCCATAGCTGCAGAGGTTAAATGGTCCAAATGGCATCTTATAGGACAATTTAGACTAAAATTAGGCATGAGAGTATAACAAAAATTATATTGAATAAGAACCTCATTCTACAATATCTGGAAGGCATACCTTATTTTCTTTGTATCTACTGAGATCTGCTATGCAGTATTCCTTGAATAATTTATCATAGTATTTCTTTGCAAGTCTCTTCTCCCTAGATCCACAAAAATATAAATATTATACACTTAGAAATTCAACTATAGTCCACTGCTTGGAAGCAATGTCACATAAATAACGCATATGATATAAATATTAATGTTTTAAAAGAGGCCTATTACTTACATATGCATAGAATAGCTGGATATTAACTATTAATGGTGGTTCTCAGGGAGAGAAACTTAAGGATAGTTAGAAATGAGAAAAACAATTAATCTTTACTTTTTACCTTTTGGATTTCTTATACAATTTTCAGGTATTACTTTTCCTAAAATATTTTAGAAGTTTTAAAAGAAAGCATGTTACAAAACAAGGCACAACATTATTAAAAAAGGTCATTTTTTTTTAAATTTTTTAATTTTTTTGACAGGCAGAGTGGACAGTGAGAGAGAGAGAGACAGAGAGAAAGGTCTTCCTTTGCCATTGGTTCACCCTCCAATGGCCGCCGCACGCTGCTGCCGGCGCACCGCGCTGATCCGATGGCAGGAGCCAGGTACTTATCCTGGTCTCCCATGGGGTGCAGGGCCCAAGGACTTGGGCCATCCTCCACTGCACTCCCTGGCCACAGCAGAGAGCTGGCCTGGAAGAGGGGCAACTGGGACAGAATCCGGCGCCCCGACAGGGACTAGAACCTGGTGTGCCGGTGCCGCAAGGCGGAGGATTAGCTTAGTGAGCCACGGCACCGGCCAGAAAGGTCATTTTTTAATAACTAAGTCAAGGAATGAGAAATCAGTAAAAAGTCAGATAGTGACAAAGTCTGAAAACAGCAGAGACAGGACTAAAGCATTTGATGCATTATGCTTGATGTCAAAAATTACCACGTCATGTCTACTTCATCCTCTTCATTCCATAGGAATTTATGATTTTCTCGTATAACATCCAAATCGGTCTTGTCATTTTCCCTGGAAAATAAGAGTATTGCAATCTAATATAAAAATAAAATTAGTCACATTTAGGAGGTTAAACAGTTCTGCTGATTTTTTTGAAAACTTGAATAAAACATGATACATAAAAATAGTTTTAAGTGAGTATATACACATATTTATAAAAACTACATCAGTATTTTCAAAAGGCACTCTTAAAGAATGCTGCTATAGAAGCAGGTTAAATGGATACAGAATCCTTCCATCTCCAGTACTGGGCTCAATTTCACAAACAGTGCTAAGTTACCAAAGCTGGGATGAGAAACCTAAATAAACACTAAATAAGTAAAGCAAATGAAAATAAGTTTCAGGATCTAACCAAAAGTCAGTAATATTATTTTATTAAGATCTAATTTTTAAAAGTATAAAAAGTTTTCCATACTTCATTCTACTAGTTTCCTAGGAAGACTGAGTAAGGGGAATAAAATTGAAAGAGATGATCTCTCAAGATCAATGCTGACAGTCTAGAAGTAGAGTAAATGATTGTTAGAGGACATAGGATAATGATAGAGGAGATAAACTTGGGGTAGATGAGATAGTACTAAAGTTTCTTAGGGCACTATCAGAGTAGAAAAAAGTCAGAGGAAGGAAAAAAAAAATCTATGCAAAATCAAGACATTTGAATAGAAAAGCCAAAGATACAGGAAAGACTCGTGTGTGAGAAAGGTGAGGTTGCTTGTTTGTTCTATCTGAAACATTCTCAAACATTCAAGTCTACAAATTTCATTACTTCAAAGATCCTTTCCAATAAGACACACAAATATTCCTCATATACCCTGTATTGCCAGGGTTGTAGCTAGCTCAAGAGGTAAGTAGGTAACCTGAGGCCTGCCGCCAAAGAAATGGGATTCATGAAAAGCTATTTAGCTAGAAGCTGTGGATGACCTCTCCACCTTGTGATACAACAAGAAAACTGGATAGAAAGTAGGGAGAGAGTGAAAATGCAGTCAAAAGATACAGTAGCTGTGTGTCTTTAAAGTCACCCACACAGTCCTCTCATTTTAGGTCAGCTTCATGATACTTACCCCAAACGTCTGAAGTCTTCTTTTTTGCCACCATAGTATAAAATATAGTCATTTACGAACTTCGTATGCCTTTGATACTGAAATGCAAACAATTAAGGATGGTACTCACTTAGGATTTGTTCTGTGTCATGATATATTACCAAGTGAAAAAAAAAAAAGCATGAGTTTATTTAGCTTTTTATTATTATGCAAATATGTACTATACGTGCTTATACATTCAAAAAATCTACAAGGGCATATATTGAAATTTTTTTTTTTTTTTTGACAGGCAGAGTGGACAGTGAGAGAGAGAGAGACAGAGAAAGGTCTTCCTTTGCCATTGGTTCACCCTCCAATGGCCGCCGCACGCTGCTGCCGGCGCACCGCGCTGATCCGATGGCAGGAGCCAGGTACTTATCCTGGTCTCCCATGGGGTGCAGGGCCCAAGCACTTGGGCCATCCTCCACTGCACTCCCTGGCCACAGCAGAGAGCTGGCCTGGAAGAGGGGCAACCGGCATAGAATCCGGCGCCCCGACCGGGGCTAGAACTCGGTGTGCCGGCACCGCAAGGTGGAGGATTAGCCTAGTGAGCCGCGGTGCCAGCTATATTGAATTGTTAAGAATGAAGATTGTAAGCCGGCGCCGCTATATTGAATTATTAAGAATGAAGATTGTAAGCCGGCGCAGCGGCTCACTAGGCTAATCCTCCGCCTTGCGGCGCCCACACACCGGGTTCTAGTCCCAGTCAGGGCGCCGGATTCTGTCCCGGTTGCCCCTCTTCCAGGCCAGCTCTCTGCTGTGGCCAGGGAGTGCAGTGGAGGATGGCCCAAGTCCTTGGGCCCTGCACCCCATGGGAGACCAGGATAAGTACCTGGCTCCTGGCTCCTGGCTTCAGATCAGTGCGGTGCGCCGGCCACGGCGGTTGGAGGGTGAACCAACGGCAAAAGGAAGACCTTTCTCTCTGTCTCTCTCTCACTGTTCACTCTGCCTGTCCAAAAAAAAAAAAAAAAAAAAAAAAAAAAAGAATGAAGATTGTAAAGTAAGACTTTCGTTTTCTACTGAATACAATTTATAACGTCTGGAATATTTTGCAAACACATACCACTCTTCTGATCAAACATATTTCCAAGTAGGGAGAAAGAGAGCTTCCTATTCTATTGTTGGACGATAGCCTCACACCACTGCTCATTCTAATAATTATAGTGGGAAAAATAAATAAATTATGTTTTCTAAAATTAAGGGTAAGAAGCAGAATATACTTTTCATCATTATAAAAGTCAGCTATTTCAGTAATAAAGTTTCTGAAGATGCTACTTCTCTAATATTAAATCCTAAAATGGGTGCCAGTTTTGAGTCACAGCTGCTCCTTTTCCGATCCAGCTCTCTGCTATTGCCTGGGATAGCAGTGGAAGATGGCCCAAGTCTTTGGGCCCCTGCACCCACGTGGGAGACCAGGCAGAAGCTCCTGGCTTCAGATAGGCTCAGCTCCAGCCATTACAGAGTTGCAGTTTTCTGTGTTACAACTGTTATAGCCTTTCCTCTCATGTGGGGTCACAGCATCTCCTCTCTGCTGGATTCACTGAGTGTTGCCTCTCTTCTCTGCCAAGTTCTTTGTCTCGTGACCATGAAGAATGAGCACGTGGACAAGGAAGAGCGAGCAAAGGAAGTTTATTTAAGAGCAAGCAAAGTGAAGGAAGTTTATTTAAAGAAGCAGAGAAAGTGTCCAACATCTGGGAGAGACTGCCCTGCAAGGGTCTGCTTGTCAGGACTGCCTGGGTTGGACTTTTATAAATTTCTAAAAGGGGAAGGAAAGGTCAGTTGATCGGTCAAGGTGTACACCAATGAGGTTTTCTATGTGAACCAACTGGGGAGTCAGCAAAGCCTGAATGTGATTTGTTCAGCCAAGACCCACGCAACAGTGGCCTAACATGGAGCTCATGTTACACAGGGAAGTTAGGAGCGTGCTCAAACAGGTCCTGGACATTCAGTAGATGCAACAACATCTGAAGACTACATTGTACACGTTTCTCCAGTCTCTCAGGGCTCCTGGAAGGTTATACTATGTACATTTCTTCCTTTTTTTTTTTAAGATTTATTTATTTACTTGAAAGAGTTACACAGAGAGAGGAGGAGAGGCAGAGAGAGAGAGGTCTTCCATCGCAGGTTCACTCCCCAGATGGCCACAATGGCCAGAGCTGCGCCGATCCAAATCCAGGAGCCAGGAACCTCTCCCGGGTCTCCATGTGGGCGCAGGAAGCCAAGGACTTGGGCCATCTTCTACTGCTTTCCCAGGCCATAGCAGAGAGCTGGATCGGAAGTGGAGCAGCCAGGTCTCGAACTGGCACCCATGTGGGATGCTGGCATTGCAGGCAGAGGCTTTACCTGCTACGCCACAGCACCGGCCCTCTTCCTTTCCTTTCCAGGGGCTTCTGCAGGCCCTATCAGCCCCACTTCCATCCACAGCGAAAAGTGGTACAAGACTTTCACTTTCACCAGACCCTAACTAGGTACTCCATGTAGTGGTATCATTTAAATTCTATATGGGTGGTACGAAAGAGGCAGATGTTTAAATCCTAAAGGAACACAAAGCAGATAAGACTCACAGGACAGCTAAGCTATTGGTTTAGGAGATACAGAAGAGAAAATAAGTTAATGACACAAGGTACTTCTGTAACTTAAAGAAGGATTAGACTTCAAGCAGGGAATGTATCAAATTGACACTGTCTCCTTTTTCCAACTCTGACCAAAGCAATAAATACCCAGGAATACTTCAAGTCTTGCTTGGCCTCTCATTCTCCAATATTCCCAATCATGGTATGGACGGCCAGTGTAACAGTACATTGTCATGAGCCACACTCAGGAATAGCCTAAAGACAGCATACATCATGCTTGAGAATTAAAGCCACAGCAGGCCTAGCAGCAATCCACAAGCACGGCTAATTTTAAATACAAGTTTTGAGACTTTAAGTAGCCAAGAAACAGGTAGAAAGAGAATAAATTGAAATTTAAAAGAATTGTAAAAAGAGAAACACTGACAGCTTGACAAAATCATGCTGGAAAAATATCTGCAGGTGCATGGACTTCATAAACTTATTTATAGAATACCAGCAATATGTTTTATTACTTTTGTCTCTTTCCTATATATTAGGAAAAGATAATTACACCCTAAAGCATACATGGCAAAATTCTACATCTTAATATACTTACCTGTAAAAATAAAAAAAAAGGATCCACTGACATCCCCAGATATGTGAAATAAAAGATTTTAAAATATACTAGTGATAAAAATCTAGAAATACAGAAAGGATACAGCATCCATAGCTATGAGATGAAACCTTCTATTTCTTGCTTCTTCCCTGTTAAAACAAATTTCAAGTAAATTCAAATGTCTGTATTCTATTTAATACAATCAAATCCCCTAGCCCCTGAGTTTATAAAACATCTTAAACCAAAGAATATTATTTATATTAAAATACTATACCTATCCAGCAATTCTGCTGCAACTTGCTTATGGGCCACTTTTCCATGTTTTTCTTTCTGAAATGGCTTTTTAAGTAGTAAATCATCTTCAACAATCCTGGTAGATTCAAAAGAAATCTCATTTAAAAAGTTAATTTTTCTCAGAGGTCGCTTCCTAATTCTTTAAAATTTTATAATGGAGAATTCAAGTCTTACCTTTAAAAAGACCCACTGATCTTTAATCTTTAAGGCAACATTTTTTATCTCCTTAAGCAGCTTAATTAATACCCTAGGTTCATTCAATAATTATAAAATGGAGATGAAACTAACAAAATCACATCACCTCCATTCCTAGTTCAAGTCTTAACTGCCATTTACTACCTTAATCTTTTTTTTTATTTGACAGAGTTAGACAGTGAGAGAGAGACAGAGAGAAAGGTCTTCCTTTGCCATTGGTTCACCTCCCAAATGGCCACTGCAGCTGGCGCTGTGCCAATTCAAAGCCAGGAGCCAGGTGCTTCCTCCTGGTCTCCAATGCGGGTGCAGGGCCCAAGCACTTGGGCCATCCTCCACTGCTCTCCTGGGCCATAACAGAGAGCTGGACTGGAAGAGGATCAACTGGGACTAGAACCCGGCACCCATATGGATGCCGGCACCGCAGGCGGAGGATTAACCAAGTGAGCCACGGAGCTGGCCCCTACCTTAATCTTAGTAAGACTACGTCACCTAATCTCTTTGTGCCAACTTTAATGTTTGTAAAGCAGCTCTAAAAAACTTCTGGTCATTAATAATATGGAAAAATAAAGGCCATTTATACAGGATGATCATTCCTAGTTATATATGTAAACATAACCCGAGAGCAAAGCATCCAACTAGATCTGCTCGAATTCTGTTTTTTTTTTTTTTTTTGAAGACATATTTACTTATATGAAATTCAGAGCTACAGAGAGAGGAAGAGACAGGGAGGTATCTTGCATGTGCCGGTTCACTCCCCAGATGGCTGCAATGGGCCAGTGCCAGCCAGGCCTCAAACCAGGAACTTCTTCCAAGTCTCTCATGTGGGAGGCAGGGACCCAACACTTGGGCCATCTTCCACTGTTTTTCCTGGGTCATTTGGAGGGAGGTAGATCAGAAGTGGAGCAGCCAAGATCTGAACCGGCGCCTATATGGGTTCAGGCAGTGGCTCTACACACTATGCCCCACCAGCACCCCCTCAGATTCGATTCTTACAAAGTAATATTTTTCAACAAAAACCTAGGAAATGTAAAGTGCTATAAAACACAATTTATTACAATTATTACTGTTCTTTTGGTTATCCACAAAGACTAAGTATCCTACAAAATGTTCAGTCCCAGTTAGTATGCATAAAATACTGCTCTCAGTGTAAACAAACTGACTTCTCTAAAAAGTGGTTATCCTGAATCCACCACTCCAGAGTTAATGGCTAACACTGAATTTTTTAAGCACTGAAAGCTGAGAACACAAACACACAACTCTGCCCAGGTGCAGCCCCTTTTAGTGCCCAGGCTTTACGGCACTGATAGGTCTTGTCCTTTCCAATTCAACACAACTTCCCTGAGCTCCTTCCCTTGACCATCACTGTGCTCAGCACATAACCACGAACACCTGTGCTGCATTACCATTTCCTCCTCCACACTAACCTCACTTGGAAGAGAACAGCAACCAAGCCCCTTTGGAGCTATGACATTTTATAAGCAAACAATCCGCCGGTGCCGTGGCTCAATAGGCTAATCCTCTGCCTTGCGGCGCTGGCACACAGGGTTCTAGTCCCGGTCGGGGCGCCGGATTCTATCCCGGTTGCCCCTCTTCCAGGCCAGCTCTCTGCTGTGGCCAGGGAGTGCAGTGGAGGATGGCCCAAGTCCTTGGGCCCTGCACCTGTATGGGAGACCAGGAAAAGCACCTGGCTCCTGGCTTCGGATCAGCGCGATGCGCCGGCCGCAGCGCACCAGCCGCAGCGGCCGTTGGAGGGTGAACCAACGGCAAAAAGGAAGACCGTTCGCTCTGTCTCTCTCTCTCTCACTGTCCACTCTGCCTGTCAAAAATTAAAAAAAAAAAAAAAAAAGGCAAACACTCCTTGATAGCTGAATGAAAAATGCAATCAACTGAGATATATGAAACCTTCCATTGCTTTCCATTTCCCCCTTCCCTTTCAATAAACCCCTGCAAAGCATAGATATAACTTTCTGATTTTTCCCACAGCTTTTCTCCAATTTTGAATCAATTTTATAACAGCTTAATCAATAAAAATACATTCACTACAGGTGTCCTCACATGCAAACACAACCCAAAGATTTTCAGCTTTATTGATTTATACCTCATTTCCATCTAAAAAGGATGTGGAACACAGATCAACAGAAAAGAGCTTACCTTTTTTTCCTTTTGCTAGATTCTCCACAGTGTTCATCATCACTAAAATCAGAGTCATAGCCTCCATGACCGTGCATCTGTAAAGTAGAAAGTCAGCTAGTTAGGGCCAAAGTTGCTAATTCCTCAGGAAACAGAACAGTTCAAAAATAAGCTATCTTAAGCAAAGTTTTATGGGACCATGGTGGGCAAATCAGTGTTCAGGATCACTTCAGAAAATGCACCAACATTTTTCACTTCTAATTATCAAGTGAACAAGGAAGGCTACTCTGTGGCCTCTTCGATGAAAACCAAGCTGATGGTATAAAGCGACTGCATACAAGGTTCAGCGATGCTGCACTTCCGACCCAGAGTAGTGAGTTATGTGTATTTATCAGCAACTGTGGTCCTGGCACTGTGCTAAGTACTTCTACAGAGAACGCTTCTAATTCTTCAAGTTAGGAACTATTACTTCCATTTTAGGGATGATGAAGTCAAGGGCAAAGTCAAGTCAGCCTTACAAAGCAATAAGCGGCTAAACTGACCTATTTGTATCTTTAGCCCATAATTTTAACTATTCCAAACTGCTTCTCTGGACTACGCTTAGCTATACTCCATTGGAATTACAGCTTTTATGAACAGTACACTAACAACTCATACAATTTTTCTGTTTTCCTTTTCCACATGTTTAGAGATCTCCATTTTCTTTTAAGTTTCTTCAAGGCAAGCTATCTGATCCTTTCGCTTAGTTAGCTTTATCTTACTTCATTTTTTAAGTGAAATTTAGAAACATGGAGAGACTAAGAGGTCGCTCAACTGCACCGGAAGAAGCTCCAGGTGCTATCATTACACTGAACCTGGGACACAAGTTATGGAGGAACTAGATGGATGATTGACTGGAAGGAACCAGTCCAGGCCAATCTATCAAACTGTAAAAGTTTTAATACAGCAGCAAGTACAGCAAGTAAGGAAGAACTGTCTCCCTGAAGTTCAGGGCTTTAGGCCTAGACAGTCCTCGCTGTCTATGTTGAGTGAGCCACTTCCTCTACAGACTCTGTTAAAGGTGGGCACGCCGAACAGTCTTTACATCCCGAGCCTGTGCTCTGCCTCTAATTCCACTGGCAACCGTGCTGTGTGGGTGTCCGCCTTTCCTCCCTCTTCCTCCAAATCCTACAGATACGAAGACCCCGCCTAGGGTTGGAAAGCTAGGTTAGGTCTCAGCTCCACTCCCGTCCTCGCTTCCATCTGGCCTCGCCTTTCGCACCTGGACGTCACGCCCTTCCCAGCTCTTCTCCGACGCCTGTCCAAGCCTCGCTAGCCTCACTCCTTTTGCTACGGGCTCCTTTCCTTCACATCTTGATGGGCGACGACCACCGTGTCCTGAAGCCCACCAGGATTCAAGGCCCGGCTCTGCCCTGCTCATCTGCCTGTCTTTGGGCACATTCCTTCCCCTGTCCCTGCCTCAGTTGCCCAATTTTAAAAGCAAGGCTAGGAGGAGTACCGCCATCATGTGACTGGGGATTACATAAGTGGACCCCGTTTAATGGGTTTTAGAACCGCGCCTGGTGCAGAAAACCCTGCAAATGCCAGCTCTTGTCGCCACCATCACCATCTTCTTCCCTAACCCCTCGACACCACTTTCCTACCCCTGCCTCCACTCTTCCGATTCTTTTTCCTCGGACGGCTTCACCCATCCCATACGCAAAGCTTTACTGAAAACCTCTCACTCACTTCGAGCTACGAATCAACAACTGACAAGAGCCGTGAGAACCGCGACAACGGAGACGTCAGTGTCCCCCAAATCTGTCCTCAACAAACAAAAATTACAATCAACTAGTAACAAGTAAGGCACAAGTATCGCCGTCCTTCTTCCCGACGCCAAGTCCACCCACGGGCCTCCTCACACACCCCTTCCTTTCCGCCCGTGAGTCGTTTCCTCCTTTGCCGGCAGCTGCAGCGACGACTCAAGGCCTGAGCGAGCCGTTACAGGGGCCAGCCAGCCCTGGGCACAGCAGCCACCACCGCCGGCGCCGCTCACTGCGCAGCTCTCCCTACGGGTCCCGACTGGACCCCACTTCCGCTTCGACTCGGACGCGTGTCACACCCAAATAGCACCGTCCTCGGGCGCGCGCCCGACCTGGTGCTACAGCCAGAACAGCTCAAGGAAACAAGGGCGCGGTGAAAGAAAAGGCCCGGAAGGGGAAGCAGCGGCTTGGTGCTTTAGCTACATTGCAGTCCCCAGCTTTTTCCTGCGCCCCATTGCTTTCCCCTCTAAAGAATCCGACGTGTAGTACCGTGTGGAGCTACCCGCATCTCAGCTCACGCCCCTCATTTGAAAACATTATGTCTTAGGGAAAAGCGTGCCTGTCCCCTGCCTCCCTCTCTCTAGTAACCTTAGTAACGCCTCCTAGAAGCATCCCTGCCAAGCATCTCAACTGAGATCAGACCGCCCTCCCTCCCGGTAAAACAGTTCTCATAATTAGAACAAAAATAGCTCTCCATCGTTTCGCCACCCACACAAGAGACATCGTTCCAAATACAGTGCTGGTGGCAGAGGCGCTTTTGGAAATGGTGAGGAAGGGAAGAACAGGGCGGAGAGATTTCAAAGGGTCGCGGGTTCTCTGCCAGCAGCGACCTTGGCACGGTTGAAAAGGGACCCAAAATAGAATCAGGGTGGGGGGGCACAATTCAGGCAGAAAGAGTTGAATTATTTTAAGCTCCACCTGGGCTTTGCCTTTCCTGCATCGTGACACCCGCTCTGTGTTCTGGGCTCAGGTCGTGTCTCCCTCCGGCATCAGCATCTATTCATCTTTGCTGCCTCCTCCGTACCCAACACCCCCAACACCGCGCCTTGGAAGCCACATGAGCTAATTAAGTATTTGTTGACTTGAACTGGCATGCCTCTGGCTTTTTCATCAAGCCCATTTTAGAGAAAACCCTGACACTTAAGGCATACTCATTTTCTATCTTTTGCCTTAAGCAGTAGATAACAATATCCTTATCAGTTCAAGGCTGCTTCTATCCCAGATGATAAAGTATAGATACATGCTGTTTTGCCCAATACAGTGAATGTGATCTTGAAAAGCTGTAAGGTAAGTTAAATTACTGTAAATTCAATTATTTCATAATGCAGTTGGATTATACCTCAATACAATTGTTTACTCGAAAATTTTAAAGCAATGGAGACATAGCTCAACACCACACTATAATGAATTTCTTTGTCAAATAGTTCCTGTTTGGGTAAGTATCTAAAATAGGTATTTTGTTCCTTTATTCATTAATAATAAAGCCAAACACGTCTGTGCCTTTATCCAATTTACTATAAATATCTGACATTGTGTTTTTCTACTATTCCTGGTATCTTCTTGTCCATTGCTTCATTTTACTCTTCCAACAACCTTGTGCTGTTGTGTTACTAGCCCCATTTTACACAGGGGGAACAGAGGCACAAAACTTAAAGCCAGAAACTTGGTAATGGTCTAGAACTGGTGGTACTCTTCTTTCTACATATTTCCTTCTCTTTCCTCTCCCCTCCCCTCCCCTCTCCTCCACTCCTCTCCTTTCTTTCACTCTCCCTACCTTCCCCACCAACCCCCACCTCCTGTGGATTGTGTGGGAGGGAGCTTCTGGTGGCAATATTTCTAAGGATTTTGAGTCTATTGCTATCAGCCCATTCAGGCAGATTTCCATTTCCCACTTTGAGGTGGCAGTTACTGAAAGGGAGTAAATAGAAAATATGTTAGGGATAGATAACATGATTGAACTAAAAACAATTAATATAAGATAGAAAACCTACTTGATCAGGAAATCTCAAGTAGGCAATTATAATCTCAATGACAATAAAAGATACAAATATTGAGTGTCTATTCTAGGTAGGGCACTATCCTACTCACTGGAATAACAGATATGTAAAAGATACCCCTTCTCTAGGTTCACTAGTAAGAAAGAATAAATAGAATAATAACAATAATATATTCTGTCATATGCCAAATATGTAGTAAATGACATGAACCTGTGGTTTCCAACCTGTAAAATGTACTATTTCAATTAATACAAAAATTTAAATATACACCAATGTGTCTGACTCGAATTAAGCAACAAAATACTGTGGTGGGCATGTAGTGGCTATGAGGGAAATTGAGTGATGATGGTGGTGACAATGCCAAGTAGTATTTCTGATATAAACTATAAATGTGCATTCTGCTGTATCTTTGAACAGACTGTGTTGTCCACAAATGGTCACACCCATGTATCCCACTAAGCATGCTCTAGGGATTTTCTGCTACTACACCCCTCCATGGTAAGCTGACATCTGATCCTGGGCATGCCAGTTAACTACAGAATTAATGCAAAAAGACTTCTGAGACGGAGTGGCAGAAGGTAATAAAGCTTCTGCCTGGCTCTTTCTGTCTCTCCCAGTTGATGTAGTGGAGCAGAGATAAGCTGACTGCAGAGTCCCACCCAGACTGCAGGTTCATAGACAAAATAAATGTTACTGTTTCAAGCCACTAAATGTTGTTATGCACTAACAGATAATGAGAACAGTCTATCTCAATCTCACAACACTTGGTGAGACATCAGTCAGGTTGGGCTGATTGAACATGCTTACCTCTTCAAAGTTACCATTCCCTCCGCCTGGAATGCTTTTCCCCCTCTCTCTTTGCCCGGATCCCTTCTTATCCCTCAAACCCTCAGCGTAAGTGAAGTGTTTCATGATCAACCTTTGCTATAGACTATGTGGAATTACCTGCACTATGAACATGTTACATTTGTGTTATTTGGCCTCTTAAACATATAAATACACACATATATACACACACAGATACACACACACGCTAGGCTACTTCAAAAAGTTCGGGGGGGGGGGGGGGCGGGCAGCGCAGTGGTGCACTAGGTTAATCCTCTGCCTGCGGTGCCGGCATCCCATATCGGCGCTGGTTCTAGTCCCGGCTGCTCCTCTTCCAGTCCAGCTCTCTGCTATGGCCTGGGAAAGCAGTGGAGGATGGCCCAGGTGCTTGGGCCCCTGCACTCGCATGGGAGACCAGGAGGAAGCTCCTGGCTTCAGATCGGCGCAGCTCCATCCGTTGCAGTCATTTGGGGAGTGAACCAGCAGAAGGAAGACCTTTCTCTCTGTCTCTCTTTCTCGCTGTCTGTAATTCTACCCGTCAAATAAATAAATCAAAATCAAAAAAAAAAAAAAAAAAGTTCAGGAGCCGGCGCTGTGGTGCAGCAGGTTAATGCCCTGGCCTGAAGGGCCAGCATCCCAAATGGGCACCAGTTCGAGACCCAGCTGCTCCAGTTCTGATCCAGCTCTCTGCTATGGTCTGGGAAAGCAGTAGAAGATGGCCCAAGTTCTTGGGCCTCTGCACCCACGTGGGAGACCCAGAAGAAGCTCCTGGCTCCTGGCTTTGGATCGGCCCAGCTCTAGCCGTTGCAGCCAATTGGGGAGTGAACCAGCAGATGGAAGACCTCTCTCTCTCTCTCTCTCGCTGCCTCTCCTCTCTCTGTGTAATTCTGACTTTCTAATAAATAAATAAATTTTAAAAAAAAGTTCATTAAGGAGCAGGCATTATGGTACAGCAGGTTAAGCTGCTGCTTGGGATGCCAGCATTCTATATTGGAGTCGAGTCCTGGCTACTCTGCTTCAGATCCAGCTTCCTGATACTGTGCATCCTGGAAGTCAGGAGGGTGGTTTTCCCAGGGTGAGGGTCATCCCAGTAGATGATGGCTCAAACACTTGAGTCTCTTCCACTCATATGAATGACCTGGATGGAGTCCAGTCTCCTGGCTTTGGCCTGGCCCAACACTGACATTCTGTTGCTCTAAATTTCAGATAAATAAAAATAAAATAAATATTTTTAAAAACTGGTACAGCACTGTGGAAGACGGTCTGGATATCTTAGAAATCTGAATATAGACCTACAATATGACCCAGCCATCCCACTCCTGGGAATTTAGCCAAGGGAAATGAAATCAGCATATGAAAGAGTTATCTGTACTCCATGTTCATTGCAGCTCAATTCACAATAGCTAAGATATGGAATCAACCCAAATGTCCATCAACTGGACATTGGATAAAGAAATTACGGGACATACACACCATGAAATACTACACAGTGGTAAAAAATGAAATCCTGTCATTTGCAATAAAATGGGTAAAACTAGAAAACATCATACTTATTGAAATAAGCAAGTCCTAAAAGGACAAATACCATATGTTCTCCCTGATCTGTGGTAAGTAACAGAGCACCCAAAAGGTAATCTAGAGAAGTGAAATTGACACTTTGAGATGCAATGACTTTGAACAGCCCTGTCTCAACTGTTGAAAACAGTTTTTTCATACTATTTGTTGAACTCTTTACTTAGTATAGAGTTAATCTTATCTATATAAAGTTAATTGAAAACAGATCTTAGTAAAAAATAAGAATGGGAATAGGAGAGGGAGGAGGAAGGAGGGTGGGAGTGCGGGTGGGAGGTCATGTATGGTGGGAAGAATCACTATGTTCCTAAAGTTGTATTTACGAAATGCATGAAGTTTGTAATACTTTAAATAAAAGGATTCTGGGAAAAATTTTTTAAAATTTGTAAAAAAAAGTTCACTTAAAAATTTCCATGCAAAACTGGAGTTAAAAGACACACTTCTTTTAAGGGACTTCAAAAAGTTCATGGAAATTGCATATTATGAAAAAACTGCATGGATTTCAAAATTTTTGCACCAAAATAAATTTGTCTTTTAATGCCATTTCCTAAGAACTATTTTTTTTAACTTTTATTTAATGAATATAAATTTCCAAAGTACAGCTTATGGATTACAATGGCTTCCCCCCCATAACGTCCCTCCCACCCGCAACCCTCCCCTCTCCCACTCCCTCTCCCCTTCCATTCACAT